CTCTCCTCCTCTTCTCTCTCTCTCTCTCTCTCTCTCTCTCTCTCTCTCCATCTGTCTGTCTTTCTCTTTCTTGCTTTCTCGTGTCGATGGATTACGTCTCTCAATCGCGCACAACACATGATTGGCCGCTATTGTCGGCGAGGTCCACGGCGATCCTGGACAAAGGATTCGTCGTCGACGGTCTGTCAGAGTGTTCCATTGTCTTCCAGCTTGTTTGCATTATCCGCGAGAGGCCGGTTTGCGTTGTGCAAACTTCGACCCTTGACACGAATCCTCTATTCCTCCGTCCCTCTTTCTCTCTCCGCCTCTCCACCTCCGTCCCTCTTTCTCTCTCCGCCTCTCCACCTCCGTTTGTCTCTTTTGCTGCATTTTGCTGCATTCTGTTTCTCTCGCTCTTCAATCGGCATTTCCCGCATACTGATCCTTTACATGCGTTCCTCCCGCATTCACCGAACGACGACCAACGATGACTCAATTAAGCTGAGCCGGCTTAACGCGATTATTACAAATTATTCTCCAAGGGCTGTAGCGAGTCAAAAGCGTGAGTTGCCTGTTAAAAGATCGGCAAGAATAAGCACTTCTATACGTAAGAAATAACTGTGCGATTCCAAAACTCGCTTAAGTTGCAGTTAGAGAAATTCGATCTAAAGCCATCTCTTAGTCACGTTTTTTCTTAGTTACCTATATATTAATAGATAAAATTAAATTCTAAAATTCCCAAAGAATTAAACATTTTTGCGTTTTATAATTTAAAACTTTTAAACCTATATTCTATTCAACAATTTTAATTTTTAAGAAATTAAAAATTTAACACCTTCCAAATTAAATTTTCTTTATTTAATTCAAACTTCAAACGTCGTAAGTAAAAGGACATGCTTCAAATTTCATTCTCTAATAGGCTTGTATGTCGTTAAAAAAAAAAAAAAATTTTTTTTTTTTTACGTACATACAATTGTTACATGTCACGTCAATGCTTTCAATTAAAAAAGAGATGGAAGTCGAAGTCGGAGATTACTGTCAAGTGAAAATGCGTACGCACGTCATTTTACCCCCGCGGCAACGAGACGACAGTAGGATGCAATAAATTTCCCTCCTTCTCTCCTTCCTCTTCCGTCGCTCTCTATATCCTTCATCGTCATGTTCCACGCTTAGTTGTTTAAGTTCGCTCCTCTCGAGGATGATTTATTAACTCTGCCACGTGACCCGGTGCAGGATGTGAAAGTGGAAACGTTCTTCCTGCGTCTCCCTGCGTATCAGACCTTATCTACGTGCTCCGCTTGTCGCGCTGTGCACTCGCAAATAATTTGCGCGTCCAATGCAGTTTACGACGCAAGTTTCATCTTACAATTATATTTGTCACTTCATTCGTTGTCACTTCATTATTAAAACGTGTACGTATGTAAACCCGGCAAACCCGAGTTATTTTATCAAGTATCAAGCTGCTTCTTCCCGATCCTTCCCGATTTTATTGTTTGCATTTTATTGATTTCAGTCGGAAATTAATGTCAACGCGTTTTTCTAATGCGAATTGAATGAGCTGCACGGGAAAAAATTGAACGGAACCTTCTATTCTTGCGAAAAACGGATTCGGTGTGTTATAAGATTGTGCAACTTACGAGTATTGGAGTTACGAATGGTATGCATTATGAATGAACAAAGCGTAGAATCATATATCTCTCTCTCTCTCTCCCTGTTTTACGAAATTAGATTAAAAAAAAAAAAAAAAAAGAAAAAGAAAATATCTCATAGCGAGGAAGAGAGAGATATAACGCGTGATGTGACAGACTATATGACGGAATTTGACGAATTGCCGACGGTCTCTATATGCAGGATTATATCACGACTGCTGAAGAACGAAAAAGAGATATATTTTAAATCTGGGAAACCCTTGGAGGATAAAGATGATATTAAGAACCGAATCTATTATGAATTTATTATGAACGAGAATTTATACGTTCTCCACGTTGAAATACGAACGGAAACCAGCTTGTGAAAATTCGAGAGCGATATTGATAGGAATTAATTCAACATGGTAATTCGTGGTGATTAATCAATCTTTCGATAATATTGCCTAATCACGACGTAATATGAAATATATACAGACTTTCACAACCGCATCGCATTCTAAATTGTTAATTGAGGTCAATTCGTATTAGCAGAGGCATTTAATTTTTTTCGACACAGTTGAAAATTGACTTTTCCCGAGTTAAATATCGCAGCGTCAATAAATCACACAAGTTAATAACACAGTTGGAATCTGTCCTCCAAAATGAAAAACTAAATTAATAAAACGACTTTATTCCCACTTCAATCAAACTTTAATTAATTTGCGACCAAGTTAGAGCTAAGTCCATCGTTGAAAATTCAGATTCTTCGCCAAGTCCCAAGGGACAATCCATTATATTTGTTAACAAGGAAGTTCGCTAGTTTCGCTAATATTACCGGTTGCAAGGGGATTAATAGCGGCGGTGCAATAATGCGCGAAGAGATTAATAACGGCGACTCGACGTGCGGCGAAAGGGAGCGGGATGGAGAGGGCGTAGTATCTCGGGAGAAGAATTATCATCGTGGAAAGAGAGGAACGGGAGAGGAACGCGAAGGGGCGTACGGAAATATGTGCAACGGGCACGTGTGTTTAGTCACATGTGTTTCGTATCAGTTGAGCTCGCAACGCGACGCAGACGAGAACCGGCGGTCTGTCAGCGCCGCACATAAAGAACCGCGCAGTGGTTCGCAGCCGGTTCGTGCGGTGCGATGCATTTTAGAGAAGGGCAAGGTAAAAGAAAGACGCTTCCTTCCTGCGCGATTTGCGTGAATTAGTGACGAGCCCGATGATTACTAAACTAGCTACTCTGCTCTGCGAAAGCGGACCAGTGAATGGACCGTGAGTCGAAACGCAAGCCGTGGATGCAGAAAAGCTTGAATGATTCACATCCTTCAGCAATATAACAATGTATTAAAATTCTCTTTTTTTTTATATGATAAAATATATTTACACACACACACACACACACACACACACACACACACACATAATAATAAAAATATAT